TCAGGCACCGTCGTGTCTGCTTCCTCCTGGAGGGCCCGCTTTCGAATCCCCTGGGTCGCCGAGCCCATCAAGGCTGCCCCTTCTGACCACCAGCACTCTCGTATCTGTCCGGAGCTCTCCGCACCCTCATTGACCGCCTCCTCTGACACTCGGGCAGCTTGGCCTGAGGACTGCGCCTGGGAGTCAAGTAATTTAATCTAAAAAGATGAGTGAGATCATAAAAAATTCCCTGCTGGGTTGCCTCATCCACCTGACATACTATATATCTTTTCCTTGAGACTAAAATGTTTATCTTTTCACCGTTGATGCCATCCGACTTAATTACCCCATGTTTTAAAAGTTCGACAGGGCATCTGGTTGGCCAATTTCCCTGCGGCCAAAACAGCTTGTCATCTTCAAGGCTGTTTAAAACATTTAAACTGCAGTATGTGCAGACCGGCTCCGTCTCCTCCATTTCTATAAAAATTCCATTCTTTTTGCAGCTACTGCAACTAGACTCGTGGGAGGAAGACGCTCCTTCTGTTGCGTCCGACTCTAGAAATATGCTAGACCTTTGAAGCCTAAAGACACTTTCTATCAAGAGCCACGGTGTCTACTACCAATATATTAAGACAGGTCAACAATGCCTTCATCCTCTGTCTAGGTTGACCTGTTAATTGTTCCAAAATTACTTTCCACATGATAATTAACACAAATTGTCGAGAGGCATCCTGTCAGAATGACAGCTATCCTATAGCTTTGGAACACTTCAAAAAGAGATAGAACTGAGCCTAAGAGTCCTAGAATAGCAAAGATTGTATTCAATGTGATAAAATAACCATGATTTACTGCAGTTTGTCGCGTTTAATAAAGCCTAAAGTCATATACAAAACAACCCAACAGTAAACAAGTAAAATGAACAGAGAATGCATGATTTTTTAACTCTATAACGTCCTTCCTTTCCTCTCCTGACCTCTTCCACTTTCTGCTCTATTCGTTAAATTTCAGGCAGGTCAATTATCGTTTGGTTTGGCTCCTCAGGGTCGCGCATCCTGACCCCCTCCCCCTCTCGACCCTGTGGAGTCACAGAGAAGAAGAGGGTCAGCCACGACCCAAATTGAAGTGATGGCCGAAACAAAACAAAAAAACACAAATCTACTCAACTGGCAAAAAACAACAACAATTTGGTGCCAAAAGAAGGCCTCTCTTAGTTGTTCTCGATTGAAGATTATTTGTGTGCTCTGTTGTCTTCTTTTATCTGTTGGTGTTCCCCCTGGCCGTCTACATTGTCATTATCTTTCAGAGTGGACTGTAGATCATCTATGGGGCGTGGTTTTTCTAGTCAGACAGAGGACAACACCTCCTCTGAGACTTCTCTTTCCTTCCTCTCGAGTCTCTCTACATCCATGACGGTGAAGAAGGGCTCCTGTGCGGTGACTAAGCCCTGTCTGAGTTTAGGAGCGGTGAAGGGTGTTCTGACAAAGACATCAGAGTAACGTTTCTTCAGCTCAGGCCACTTGAGTCTTGTAAAACATTACAGGCACATGTGTTCTAATAGGCCACAAGCATGTTCTGGTTATTTAATGCTTTTTAAATTTAGAAGTACAGTATTTCTGGAGTTATAATAAATGGTCAAACACAGTTCAGCCTACCCTACAATGCTTTCTTGCTTAGTTTCGGTTTTCAGTGTTCTGACATATTTCAGTGTTCTGATATACAACTCACCATCATCAGCTTCCAAACATATCAAAACAGCAAACTGATGAGAAAATAAGAGCAGAGGCTTTCAACCCTGTGCCAAAAGACATCTAATCTAAAGTAGAGCTTATATTTTAAAGCAGTGGTTCTCAACTCGTCTAGCCTCAGAACCCACCAGCAACAACTCCGCTTCACAGACTTTTTGATACTTTCATAACTCATTGAAAACAGCTCGGAGACCCACATTTGGGTCCTGACCCACCAGTTGAGAACCACTGTTTTAAAGCACATATTGGGCTGAAATGTACAAGTGTATTTATTTATTTTTATTTAATTATTTATTTGATTGATTTTGGACAGTGCACATTAATTAGCATATCAGCATTAAAGTTCAATGTCAATATATCAGAATTAGCACAAAGTATTATAGCTAAATGTCATCTGTAGTCCTAAGGCAGGTACAAAACAGTTACAAGACACCCCACAGGACAGTCCACCAGACAGCACACATCAGCTCACAAACAGTTGAAATGAACAGGACAGCAGGGACCCTGCTTTCTTCAGGATATCACATCTGGAGTCTAGGTCTTGTTGTTGGGAATGAAAAGTAGATATGGTGAATCATACGTGATGGAGAAGATTTCATTGAACTAAAATGACCAAACACTGCTGAAACATTTTTTTGTTTATTTATCAAAACCCTCAGGGACAATGTCAATAAAACCAATAAAATCAAGCTGAAGTACAACAACAGATAAGAGAGCAGCTTTACTTTGTCACTATGAAATAGACGTAGCCAATTAAAGATCTTAAAAATATTAATAAACCTATTGGTTAGTAGTGGCTAAAGTGGCTCAAATGAATATGTATAAGTAATGTGATAGATCTTGGATTGAGCCTTCTGATGACTAACTTCAGACCCCGAGTTAAACCCGAAGACGAACTGCAAATCACGACAAGGTTATCTTGGATTCCTATTCATATAGTAGCAGTCTCTGCCTCTATGATAAAGACCCCATTTAAAGGGCATCAAATGATGTAGTTTTAAAGAAAAAGACATACATCCATTTCCTGTTGTCTTGACAGTCACCAATTCCCAAATCCCTAAAAATATCAGCCCATACAAATATGAAATAACAAAATAAATATATGATGAAAAAAAGTGAAAATATAATTTTAAAATTACACTAAAAGGAATGTACACATACGCATAGTTAGAGTGCTTTAAAATGCTTTGGGCGCCATAATAATGTTTGTAGAGTATTGCGCAAGATTGTAAATCGATTTTCTTTTGCTTTTTTTGTAGAGCTCTAATTGGAGGACTAATGCAAAGTCTGTAATTTATCTCTAAATGACAGAAATTAAAGACGATATTAATATAAATCAGATCATAACCATCTTAAATAACCGTCTTTATGTATTCTGAAAAAGCAGAGAGTCTGAGTCTATCTTTTAAAAAATAGTTTTTCTATCCTTCAGTATAGCTTCACACACATGGGGAATCTATTGCAATAATAGACAAATAATTTCACTTCACATTTTTTAAGTGCATCTATTTTTTAAATTTACATGTGCAAGTCAGTCCAGTAGAGGGCAGTAACGTATTGCAAAACAGAGAACCATTTATCCAGCTTGGGACCTGGTATTGTTTTCTCTATCTCTCTCTCGTACTCCCCCATAAACCTGACTTACTTCAAACTCTGCTGAGGAAATTAAAATCTCTCCTTATCTCTGATTTTCTAGAATGAAATATTTTCAACTGTACTGAAGCAATTACGTCTCTGATTCATCCTGTATCTGAGTCTCTCTCTCGCTCTCTCTTAGTAACACGCACGCACGCGCGCACACACCTTAAGTAGATGGACCCTGATGGTCTAGTGGCTAGGATTAGGAGCTTTCACTGCTGAGGCCCTGGTTCGATACCCAGTCAGGGAATGTGCTTTTACCGTTTTTTTCCAATTGCTAAAACACAATTTTGCAAATTAGGCTGGTTATATCAAAATACTTTTGTGACAATTCACAAAACCACACACTCAAACTGCAAAATACCTTATATATCCTGTATAATGAAGCACTGCAACCAAAACTACATATAGCATTATCAAAATCAAACGTTTGCACCAAATGGCACACACTCTGTCATTCATTCAATTCACATTCATATTACCAGATTTTTGTCTAACCAACTACACACTGTTGGGCATAATGAAAAGCACTCTCATCTTTAGTATGCTTTGCCATAATACTAAAATAGTTCGAATTGTAGAAAATTCTTCAGATTGTTCACATGCACAGAAACATTGGCAGATACACACACATGCTGGTGAAACATTTATTTTTCACCAAACAAGTCAGTTCAACATATACCAGTACAGTAAAACTGCTCAAGTTGGGCTGCAATCTCTGTCCAGCCTCTCGCATTGTCAGCCCATGGTTGATGACATGATCAACTAAGGTTGCTCTGATTTCATTTGAAAGTTGTTGTCTTCTTTGGAAACGAACTGCTCTACCAGCTCTACCCCTACCTCTCACTCTTCCTCCCCCTCTCATTCTCACCCTCCCTCTTCCTGTCTCTGCAATGTCTTCCATTGTTGTTGTTAAAAAAAAGGTGCTCACCTGTGGTCTTAGCACCCATAGTGCTTACTTCCTGATCGATGTGATAACAATTAACCATTGAGGTGTTTGGCCAGGTGGCACATACATTGGCCAATTAGCTCATGTAGTGTCATTTTGAATGACAGTGTTTTGAAATGGCAAACATGTGACTTTATGTCAGATTGTTGTGTCTTATGCAGAGAACCGTGTTCAGTACATTTAAAAAAGTGACATTTTGAATTGCAAAATGTGTGTAAGGCAGAAAATGTGTTTAGACTTTTGGAGACTTGAGAAGACGTTTTGCTCTCCGTGTGTCGGTTTAAATAATTTTGCTATGTATGTCATTTTAGTGTGTTAGCAATTGGAAAAAACTGTAATGCAGTGATGGTGGTGTTGGCATGCATAAAACAAAATCAAAAACACTCCGCTGAAAAATGGTTCATGTTTACAGGAAGACTTGATTCACTGGTGTGTCCACCAGCTGTCTTCCACTGGCTCCCTGATGGTCTAGTGGCTAGGTTTCGGCGCTCTCACCGACGCGGCCCGTGTTCGATTCCCGGTCAGGGAATGTGCTTTTAATGCAGTGATGGTGGTAAAAAAACAAAAAACAAAATCAAAAACACTCCGCTGAAAAAAGGAAAATACTACTAAACCCGAGCTACGATAAGTTGTGTGTCTTGTCAGACAAATTGATAACTTCAGTGTTGTCCTACTTCACACCAATGGGGTCCCTAATGGTCTAGTGGCTAGGATTTAGCACTTTCACCGCTGCAGCCCTGGTTCAATTCCTGGTTAGGGAATATGTATTTAATGCTGGGAAGTACCAATCTCTGCCTTGGTCTGCTAGCTCTATATTGGTCCACATTGTCATCTGACCTATAGTCAGCCTGAAATGGAATATCTCCGTGTTCAAAAACAGTTGTGTTTACCTGAAAGTAAAGTTATGAGTCCAAAACAGAGAGCCAAGCTAAGCCCTACTTATTTGTGATTGGCTCAGAGTTTGGAGCTTACCTTGGGCTGTAGCTGAAGAAGTAATGTAGTCCATAAAACCCTATAGTGCTTACGCTCCGCTGAAAAAAGGAAAATACTACTAAACCCATGCTACGTTAAGTTGTGTGTCTTGTCAGACAAATTGATAACTTCAGTGTTGTTCTACTTCACACCAATGGGGTCCCTAATGGTCTAGTGGCTAGGATTCAGCGCTTTCACCGCTGCGGCCCGGGTTCGATTCCCGGTTAGGGAATATGTATTTAATGCTGGGAAGTACCAATAGTACCTTGGTCTGCTATCTCTATACTGGTCCACATTGTCATCTGACCTATAGTCAACCTGAAATGGAATATCTCTGTGTTCAAAAACAGTTGTGTTGACCTGAAAGTAAAGTTATGAGCCCAAAACAGAGAGCCAAGCTAAGCTAGCTAAGCTAACCTAGTTATTTGTGAAACACTCAGAGTTTGGGGCTGTAGCTGAAGAAGTAATGTAGTCCAAAAAACCCTATAGTGCTTACACTCAAGCAGGATTTCAAACAAGTGGGAACAAATTTAACCTCATTGCTGGAAAAACACTTGCATGGGTTCACTTTACAGGCACATGTTTTCAGCCTTTTTTTTTTTAGCTTCAGCTGATGCAGTGATGTGCACAAGTGTTGCAAACACAAATAAAAACAACAAAGCAAATGTCATTCAAATTTTGCTGGACGTTCCTCAAGTCTGAAGTACTTGACCAGAGTTGCTGAAAAATGGTTCATGTTTACAGGAAGACTTGATTCACTGGTGTGTCCACCAGCTGTTTTCCACTGGCTCCCTGATGGTCTAGTGGCTAGGATTCAGCACTCTCACCGCCGCGGCTGGGGTTCGATTCCCGGTCAGGGAATGTGCTTTTAATGCAGTGATGGTGGTGTTGGCATCCATAAAACAAAATCAAAAACACTCCGCTGAAAAAAGGAAAATACTACTAAACCCGAGCTACGGTAAGTTGTGTGTCTTGTCAGACAAATTGATAACATCAGTGTTCTCCTACTTCACACCAATGGGGTCCCTAATGGTCTAGTGGCTAGGATTCAGCACCTTCACCGCTGCAGCCCTGGTTTGATTCCCATTTAGGGAATATGTATTTAATGCTGGGAAGTACCAATAGTACCAATCTCTGCCTTGGTCTGCTAGCTCTATACTGGTCCACATTGTCATCTGACCTATAGTCAGCCTGAAATGGAATATCTCTGTGTTCAAAAACAGTTGTGTTTACCTGAAAGTAAAGTTATGAGTCCAAAACAGAGAGCCAAGCTAAGCCCTACTTATTTGTGATTGGCTCAGAGTTTGGAGCTTACCTTGGGCTGTAGCTGAAGAAGTAATGTAGTCCATAAAACCCTATAGTGCTTACGCTCCGCTGAAAAAAGGAAAATACTACTAAACCCGTGCTACGTTAAGTTGTGTGTCTTGTCAGACAAATTGATAACTTCAGTGTTGTCCTACTTCACACCAATGGGGTCCCTAATGGTCTAGTGGCTAGGATTCAGCGCTTTCACCACTGCGGCCGGGTTCGATTCCCGGTTAGGGAATATGTATTTAATGCTGGGAAGTACCAATAGTACCAATCTCTGCCTTGGTCTGCTAGCTCTATATTGGTCCACATTGTCATCTGACCTATAGTCAGCCTGAAATGGAATATCTCTGTGTTCAAAAACAGTTGTGTTTACCTGAAAGTAAAGTTATGAGTCCAAAACAGAGAGCCAAGCTAAGCCCTACTTATTTGTGAAACACTCAGAGTTTGGGGCTGTAGCTGAAGAAGTAATGTAGTCCAAAAAACCCTATAGTGCTTACACTCAAGCAGGATTTCAAACAAGTGGGAACAAATTTAACCTCATTGCTGGAAAAACACTTGCATGGGTTCACTTTACAGGCACATGTTTTCAGCCTTTTTTTTTTTAGCTTCAGCTGATGCAGTGATGTGCACAAGTGTTGCAAACACAAATAAAAACAACAAAGCAAATGTCATTCAAATTTTGCTGGACGTTCCTCAAGTCTGAAGTACTTGACCAGAGTTGCTGAAAAATGGTTCATGTTTACAGGAAGACTTGATTCACCGGTGTGTCCACCAGCCATCTTCCACTGGCTCCCTGATTGTCTAGTGGCTAGGATTCGGCGCTCTCACCGCTGCGGCCCGGGTTCGATTCCCGGTCAGGGAATGTGCTTTTAATGCAGTGATGGTGGTGTTGGCATCCATAAAACAAAATCAAAAACACTCCGCTGAAAAAAGGAAAATACTACTAAACCCGAGCTACGGTAAGTTGTGTGTCTTGTCAGACAAATTGATAACTTCAGTGTTCTCCTACTTCACACCAATGGGGTCCCTAATGGTCTAGTGGCTAGGATTCAGCGCTTTCACCACTGCGGCCCAGAATCGATTCCCGGTTAGGGAATATGTATTTAATGCTGGGAAGTACCAATAGTACCAATCTCTGCCTTGGTCTGCTAGCTCTATACTGGTCCACATTGTCATCTGACCTATAGTCAGCCTGAAATGGAATATCTCTGTGTTCAAAAACAGTTGTGTTTACCTGAAAGTAAAGTTATGAGTCCAAAACAGAGAGCCAAGCTAAGCCCTAGTTATTTGTGATTCGCTCAGAGTTTGGGGCTGTAGCTGAAGAAGTAATGTAGTCCAAAAAACCCTATAGTGCTTACACTCAAGCAGGATTTCAAACAAGTGGGAACAAATTTAATCTCATTGCTGGAAAAACACTTGCATGGGTTCACTTTACAGGCACATGTTTTCAGCCTTTTTTTTTTTTAGCTTCAGCTGATGCAGTGATGTGCACAAGTGTTGCAAACACAAATAAAAACAACAAAGCAAATGTCATTCAAATTTTGCTGGACGTTCCTCAAGTCTGAAGTACTTGACCAGAGTTGCTGAAAAATGGTTCATGTTTACAGGAAGACTTGATTCACCGGTGTGTCCACCAGCCATCTTCCACTGGCTCCCTGATTGTCTAGTGGCTAGGATTCGGCGCTCTCACCGCCGTGGCCCGGGTTCGCTTCCCGGTCAGGGAATGTGCTTTTAATGCAGTGATGGTGGTGTTGGCATCCATAAAACAAAATCAAAAACACTCCGCTGAAAAAAGGAAAATACTACTAAACCCGAGCTACGGTAAGTTGTGTGTCTTGTCAGACAAATTGATAACTTCAGTGTTCTCCTACTTCACACCAATGGGGTCCCTAATGGTCTAGTGGCTAGGATTCAGCACTTTCACCGCTGCAGCCCTGGTTTGATTCCCATTTAGGGAATATGTATTTAATGCTGGGAAGTACCAATAGTACTAATCTCTGCCTTGGTCTGCTAGCTCTATATTGGTCCACATTGTCATCTGACCTATAGTCAGCCTGAAATGGAATATCTCTGTGTTCAAAAACAGTTGTGTTTACCTGAAAGTAAAGTTATGAGTCCAAAACAGAGAGCCAAGCTAAGCCCTAGTTATTTGTGAAACACTCAGAGTTTGGGGCTGTAGCTGAAGAAGTAATGTAGTCCAAAAAACCTTATAGTGCTTACACTCAAGCAGGATTTCAAACAAGTGGGAACAAATTTAACCTCATTGCTGGAAAAACACTTGCATGGGTTCACTTTACAGGCACATGTTTTCAGCCTTTTTTTTTTTTTAGCTTCAGCTGATGCAGTGATGTGCACAAGTGTTGCAAACACAAATAAAAACAACAAAGCAAATGTCATTCAAATTTTGCTGGACGTTCCTCAAGTCTGAAGTACTTGACCAGAGTTGCTGAAAAATGGTTCATGTTTACAGGAAGACTTGATTCACCGGTGTGTCCACCAGCCATCTTCCACTGGCTCCCTGATTGTCTAGTGGCTAGGATTCGGCGCTCTCACCGCCGTGGCCCGGGTTCACTTCCCGGTCAGGGAATGTGCTTTTAATGCAGTGATGGTGGTGTTGGCATCCATAAAACAAAATCAAAAACACTCCGCTGAAAAAAGGAAAATACTACTAAACCCGAGCTACGGTAAGTTGTGTGTCTTGTCAGACAAATTGATAACTTCAGTGTTCTCCTACTTCACACCAATGGGGTCCCTAATGGTCTAGTGGCTAGGATTCAGCACTTTCACCGCTGCAGCCCTGGTTTGATTCCCATTTAGGGAATATGTATTTAATGCTGGGAAGTACCAATAGTACTAATCTCTGCCTTGGTCTGCTAGCTCTATATTGGTCCACATTGTCATCTGACCTATAGTCAGCCTGAAATGGAATATCTCTGTGTTCAAAAACAGTTGTGTTTACCTGAAAGTAAAGTTATGAGTCCAAAACAGAGAGCCAAGCTAAGCCCTAGTTATTTGTGATACGCTCAGAGTTTGGGGCTGTAGCTGAAGAAGTAATGTAGTCCAAAAAACCCTATAGTGCTTACACTCAAGCAGGATTTCAAACAAGTGGGAACAAATTTAACCTCATTGCTGGAAAAACACTTGCATGGGTTCACTTTACAGGCACATGTTTTCAGCCTTTTTTTTTTTAGCTTCAGCTGATGCAGTGATGTGCACAAGTGTTGCAAACACAAATAAAAACAACGAAGCAAATGTCATTCAAATTTTGCTGGACGTTCCTCAAGTCTGAAGTACTTGACCAGAGTTGCTGAAAAATGGTTCATGTTTACAGGACGACTTGATTCACCGGTGTGTCCACCAGCCATTTTCCACTGGCTCCCTGATTGTCTAGTGGCTAGGATTCGGCGCTCTCACCGCCGCGGCCCGGGTTCGATTCCCGGTCAGGGAATGTGCTTTTAATGCAGTGATGGTGGTGTTG